CTCGCCCCGTCTGTATCCAGTGCCTCTGCGTGGGCCTAACAACGATTCGTGGACATGGCAGGCTATGCAAAAACAAGAAAACAACAGCCAGCCGTTTGCAAGCAAGGTGCAGACAAGGCTTGTTAATGGGGCTTAGGGGCCTGTCTCGCCCGCTCAGCCTTAAATCCTAAACTGCCCGAAGCCGTCGAAACCCATGGCGGCCCCCACGCAGATGGAAGCGATTGAGCCGTTCCCTCAAGTTTTTTTTTCTTCTTCTGTTCGAAGGTGTGATGTCAACGGAGCCGGAGGTTCGCAAAGAACTTAAACAGAACTTATTCAACGAGACGTCAGATTTACAGACGTGCCCAGAGGCCTGGGTTTCACCGAAAGTTTAGTTGTCAATGGCGTGAGGCAGGGTTTATACACAAAACCGCGGTCGGACGAGCCTCTGTGGAAGACACCTTGATCTCAATCGTTTCATACTTGAGGCTCTCACCTCTTACGGTTTGATGTAGGGTTTGTGGTGGTTGCCAGTGGTACATGTCGCTGCGGACAGGCGTTCTGTTGATTTCTGAATGTGCAAATAAACCATTTAGTGCTGGAAGAGTTTCGGAATCAGTTTATTGCGAAGTGCCAAAGCGGAGGTCGTTGCATTTAGGCTTCAGGGCGGCTTCGTGCAATAGTTTTCTACTGGGATCCCGTTGTAACACGCATGCTCATGTATAAGCCAGGCACCTTAACAAACAAACTGGGTTCGGGCTTGGGGGGGTTTTGGGGGGGGATGGTGGGTGGTAGGGGTGTTGGGGGCGGATGGTGGGGCTGGGCGGGGGTGGGGGGTATGTGCTTTCTGCTACCTGGACAACTACGGACCAAGGCCTTGGCGGATTTTCTTTGCGCAACTTTAATTGTAAACGCTTGCGTGCTCCCTCGGCAGCCGGGTCAACATAAGGGGGAGGGGTGTCAAGGAAGGCTCCCAGGGGTTCTGGGGGGGTCCCAAAAGGGGCTCAAGTCCCAAGGGGGGGGACCTAAAAACGTCCCCAAAACAGCCAAATTGGGCGCATGGGTCGTGAGCCCGGCAGGCGGAGGCAGTGTGAGGCTTTCCCGTTAGCAACCCGAAAGAAGTTCTGAGCAATGTTAGAGACGAGTGTGCTATCTGCTGCAGTCAGAGGTTCCGAACGTGCAGAAGATTCGGTTGTTTGTAGAGCTGCGCGTCGCATGGGGAGATGCAGCAATCATGTGGTACGTGCATGTGGTGCGAAAAAGCAAGACATGATAGCAGAAAGGCAAACTTCCCAGGTTGTAAAGTCACCACCCCCGCGAAACCCTTTCCGATTCCAGATCGGTGGTCTCTAAGTCACAGGAAGGGGACAATGTATCCAAAGCCGCCTGGGATGGGGTAGGCCCCGGGGATTGGCTAATTAGCTCGTGCTGAAGTACACCACTTCAAGGTTTCAAGTAGCCATTATTATTCTTCTTCTGATTCTTCTTCTTCTTATTATTACTATTATTGTTATTTTTTATTTTCGTGCTACATGGCCTCTTTCATGATTCTGGAAACTGTGCTTGCAGGTGTACTGTATAGTGTTATCGTACAAGCCGCTCACTAAAACAACATGTGGCACCTCGGGTGCAGGACTGTCCCAGAAGGTGTCGTTTATGTTTCGACATTCAGCTTGATCTATCAATGTGGAAGCTCGTCTAAATTCCCCTTAGCCGAACTTGGACGCGGTTGTTGCAAAGTCTTTGTCCGAGCCCCTCCTCGAAAGTTACGAACTTCCGGTTCGCAAGATGGGGATCTGCGGATGTCCTATGAAAGCTAACAACGAGAATAAAAGTCGAATCACTCTGGGATATGAAGTTTATAAAGCAGTTTATACATGTCGTTGAACGGGACAGGAGGGTCCCTGTGGGAGCCTAAATCCCTCAGCGGTCAGCTCGTTTGTCACTCATTGTAAAATCTATGTCACTGGTTTTCTGCATCAAAGCACCCGAGTCTTCAAAATACGTGGGGCATGCTCTCTATGTACCATTTGTTTTTGCTCACGCCGCTGTTAGCGGCCCTGGTAAAACGTTAGTTTTGGCACTTCTTGGTGACTTGTTCCGGTTGTCTTGGGGGCGGGGGGTGGGGGGGGGTGGTGGGTGGGGGGGGGGGGGGTGGGGGGGTGGGGGGGGGGGGGGGGGTTGTGGGGGGGGGTGGGGGGTGGGGGGTGGGGGGGGGATCAGAACGTCATTCATATTGCATCCATGCACAAAACACTGGTATTTACAGCGTTTTCGCGTCTTTGTACAACATACTGCACAAGGATGTGGAACAACAAAAACTGTCACAAGCGTCCATGCATTTCGCGACCAAAACCGTGCTTTCCGTGCTTAACGTCTCTGCGCAACCCCAAAGCCCTAAACTCGAACCACTGCAAGCCCGTTGCACCCTGAACACTCCAGCCCCGCAAAACATGCGAAATGCTGAAAACACTGGCGGGCGTAGCACTTTTGAAGTTAAGACCACATTGCAGTTACCTCGTTGAACAGTGACAAAACACAAAACGGGGGTTAAAACCACATTTCCGCGCGCAAACGGTCCAGGGCCGTTAACAGCGGCGTGACCTTGTTTATGTATCTCTTCCTAAACATTAGAGTCGTCAGAGCGAGCGTTTCGTCCTGGTACTTGTGCCAGCAGCCTCCTCACACACAAATTGGGCCTCAAGAAGATGCCCTCCACGCATGTTGGACAGTTGACCCAAGTGCTTCACAGTGCGGCGACACACTCCCTTCAATTTTGCAAACCTTTGCAAAGTGAAGGGCCGCTTTTAATCAACCTGTACACATGTATGCATGTATATATGTATATACATGTGTATATATATATGGTACCCCCCCCCCAGTGACCTACCCTTTTTCGCCTTGTCTCAAGTCACCCAGCTGCACTGCAAGCAAACTCGGTGTGCAATATAGCGTATTTCCTAGGGCGTAGACTAAAATACAATTAAAATCGCATACACGGGACAGTAGAAAAACCAAAAATACCAAAACCAAAAAAACCAAAAAACCAAAACCAAAAAAACCAAAAAAACCAAAACCAAAAAAACCAAAAAAACCAAAACCAAAAAAACCAAAAATACCAAAAAAAACAATTTTCCGGGACTCTCAGGAAATCCCTATGAGGCTTCTCCAAGAGTCCCGGAAAATTGGTTTTTTTGGTATTTTTGGTTTTTTTGGTTTTGGTTTTTTTGGTTTTTTTGGGTTTTTTTGGTTTTTTTGGTTTTTTTGGTTTTGGTATTTGGCTTTTTGGTTCGCCTTCACGGTCACGAGGCAACAACTACGCATTTTTAAGTGTGCTTATGCTAATTGTGCTTTTCAGAAATAGTATACAAGTGGTCTTTCTAGTGCTTCAGAACTATTTGTTTCGTTATTATGTAAGTAGAGCCGCTAGTGTTTAGTGCATCTTTTGATTGTACTCAAGTGTAGTAGACCTTATTCAGCCATTACTTGGTGCTCTGGTAGCTCAATTCGCATGGATAATATTTGCCTGGTAAATGCGATTAATTATCTAGAAGCAGCATTTGCAATACTTGTCTTGAGAAAAAGCATTTATTGCTTAGAATTGTTTGCTTAAAAAGTGACTCCTACTCGTCCAGGAATACCCCAAAACCCTATAATCCAAACTTTACCAGAGATTCTCCTGAAAAGCTTGCGCTTTTGGATGTTTTTATGTATTTGTGAATTTGCTTGTGTATGGCCTTCACTAAGTACTTTTCTAGGATTCTTGTGCATTTTTTAAGCCTGATTGTGCAAGTTGCGTTTTTCAGGCATAGTATATATGTGGTCTTTATTGAATACTTCAGACATCTTTGTTTCATCGTTATGTAAGTAGAACCGCTTCTATTTCCATTATTGTGCATTTTTAAGCTTGCTCATGCAAATTGTGCTTTTCAGACATAGTATATAAGTGGTCTTTAGTGAATACTTCAGCAATCTTTGTCTCATTGTTATGTAGGTAGAACCGTTTCCATTTCCGCAAGTGTTTATTTCGTATTTGGTTAAGTATGGTCCTTTAAATAGTATTCACTTGAGTCAAATTGGGCTATTTGCTTAAGAATTCCTCTAGTAGTTAAATTCGCATAGAATGAATACTTCAAAAAAGGTTGTTTCATGAATATGTAAACATAAGGTGTTTCATTTGACTTTGCAGATAGTACTTCAATAATACTTTGCCTGGTATAAACACAACTGTTTCAATGCATTAGTTGCTCAACAAAGCACTATTTGCCCTTTAAACCACACTTTGCCATATGTTGGTTGAATATGCTGCTTCTTTCGTATTTTGGTTGAGTATGGTCCTTTAAATGGTATTCACTTGAGTCAAATTGGGCTATGTGCTTAATAATTACTCTAGTAGCTAAATTCGCATAAAATGATTATTTCAAAAATAAAAACGATTCATGAATACATAAGGTATTTCAGTGGACTTTTCAGAGAGCATACTTTGCCTAGTACGAACACAATTGTATAAATACAGTATTTGCACTTTAAACGCACACTTTGCCATTTTTTGGTTGAGAATGGTGTTTATTTCGTATCTTGGTTGAGTATGCTCCTTTAAATAGTTCACTTGAGTCAAATTGGGCTCTTTGCTTAATAATTACTCTAGTGGCTAAATTCGCATAGAACCAAGAAAAATGTTTCACTATTTGATTAATACTTTGCCTCGTACAAACACAACTGTATAAATAAATTAGTTGCTCAACAAAACATTAATTGCCCTTGAAACGCACAATTTGCATAGAAAAGCACTGATCTAAACATCTAAAAACAGCATTGTCCGCTTCAGATTCAAAATGTAGATTCTTCCAATGCTGGCTTATCGGGGTCTGTGAGGTGGGTGTCCCAGTAACTGTCCTTCATTACCCGGTGATTAACTACGCACTTTTTTGGGCCTTCTTTGTTATTTTTTGTTAAAAAGGCATAAAAAGGCCTAAAAAGGGTAGGTCGCTGGGGGGGGGGTAGCATATATATATATATATATGCGTATATATGTATGTGAGCCAAACCTGTTCCACGACACATATCATGGCTTCTCGGTGGTAGCATGCACTTTGTATACTTTGTGCTTTGTGTCCAGGCAGCTCTGCATCTCCGGCTCTGCTCCTGCCCTGCAGGTGTGGGTCCCAGGCATCACGAGATGCTAGGCGACGGTCAGTAACGGCTGAGAAAGGGGTATCCCCAATCCCGTAAGGTGGGTGGTAGCAGATCCTCTACACCAGTGAGAGCGAAGAAGTGACCTGACTGCACGCCTAATCAACTGCAAGTGGTCAGCACCTGTCATACTGTCATACTGTCATAGTGCCAATATTGTTACGGCAAGCCGCAGGCGAGTTGGCGGTCCTCATTCGCAGCTTGTTGGCCAACTCTCCTCAACTTTTGCCGACCCTTGGATCCTTACGACTTACGACTCACTCAAAGCAATGTTAAGCAATGGACACAGTTGGAAGCTGGGACGCAAAATCCCAGGCTCCTTTGGAGGAGTGCTGCACACTAGAGCCCCAGATGCAGCCCGAGACTGCGGGGCCGTGGGGGAGTGCTGTTTGGAAGGGCGATGCATGATGAAAACGATCAAAGAGCATTCGAGTTTGTGAGCTGTGCTCTAAACGCAAGAGATTTGTTTCAACCAGGGATGGGGGGGTGGCCTTTAGCAAAAGTCGCTAAGGAGAATTTGCATCGCGTTGCTCTCCAGATATCTGGGAGGGTTGCGGCACATCGGATGGCGTTTACCGCGCTGGTGGCCGCTGTTTCTGGTCGGTGTGTGAGCATGCTACGGAAGGGGCTGTCCATGGAAGAAGCCGCGGCAGCGATGCCGCTATTGGGAGACCTGTGGCGTGCGGGGCTCCTGTACGTACCGGGTGACGGTGCAAGAGCAGCAGTGGCGGCGGCGCTTGCAGTCCTTGTCTCCGGGGGACGCAAAGTGCGCAAAGAGACGCCTGGCTCCGCACTGGGTCCACTGGGCGTGTCGGTATCAAGGCCTTCGTCCACAGGCAGTGGCTCCAGGGAGACCATGGACCAGCGACTGCGTCGCTGGTGCCGCAGCTGTGAGCTTTTTGAGGACGTGCGAACCTTAATCCGATACCATACGCTTTCAACCATGTCCAACCCTGAGGCAACTGTGAAGCGGGGCAACGCAAAAGCATGAGCGTTGTGCAACGCCGCCCTGTTTCATCCTGCCCAGGCAATATCAAAGGAGCTTCTCACCAGGGAAGGCGGGACATCTGTGCAGGACAGGGCATTGGCGTGCTTGCATGGGTCGCTTTGTGCTGGACGCGTGGCCACCAGATTGCGTGCATTTGCGCGTGGCGGCGATGGGACATCACAATTCAGGGCAGCAGCGGCAGCGGGCAGCTGACCATGTTTCTCTTCAGGAGCAGCTTTATGAGGAGCTGAAGCGAACTTTGGCGGGCGCACGGGAGGAGGAGCTGCGGAAGGTGCCGAAGATCGCACTTTGTGCTGCGCAGCACGAGCTAGCCAAAGCACTGCAAGTGAGCGAGCCGTGTCTTGACGAGTCCCTCTTTCGGAGGCTGCTGCACGCATCAAGCTGGGCAGCGTACCCCTCTGCCGTGGCGCCGGGCTGATGGAGCGGCTCCGGAGGACAAGACAAGTTCACGAGTCACTCGTAAGGTAAGTCATTGTGCTGTTGTGTCCATCAGCTTAGCTTAGGCATCTTTGTCTTTGTTTCAGACAGGCAGCCCTCGAAGAGGTCAAATTCCGTCAGCTCGGATACTCATGGGGACGAGACAGACCTGGCAGCGAAGGCTTAGCGTGCACCTGCAAGCACGTGAGACTCGTAAAACACCACGTCGCTTCAGGCTTGGCAAGCAGCCCAGCAAGCGGAATCGCAAGCAGCGCAGACCATTGCGGCAATCGCTTACGAGGCCTCAGATTTTGTGACAGACGCCTTGTGGTGCTGGTTGCCCTTTTGTCCTAGATTTTACAAACTCTTGGCGTTTGCCCTTGTTCTTCGTGCTCTGGCAGGTTGTGCGCAATGCAGAGGTTGCCTGCAACGAGACAGCCACGCTGGCGAGGGCGGCCCTCGATGACAATGGAATAGTTGCCTGGCCAGACCACAAACATGTTGCGGACTCTTGCGGCCGTCCATTCTAGTTGAGCAGCCATCGGCCACGTAAAACAGCTCCGCTACGTAAAGCTTGCGGACGACATGAAAGTGGCTTGCGAACAGGTTGACTCGACAGCTGTCTTCCAAGGTCGAACCAGACGCTCCGCTAGGCTTTTCGCCTGTAGTCTCCAGGCTACCAGCGGTTTCCCCACGCTGTTGACAGCTGCACTGTTTGTGACGCGTGCAACAGAGTGCAGGCCACCCAGCACACGTTCCAGCTTTTTTGCCGGCATGTCCTTCGAGACTGGAGGCCACATGTTGAGTCCTAACGTGCAGACATGAGGCAACATCGGCCAAACAGCACAAAGACATAAGACTGTCAGGAACTTTCTCTGCCGCAGCAATTTCGTCCAGATCCA